ATGATTTTCAAAATTCAAATAATCATATCTTTATACATACACAGGGTTTTATCTCGGGATTGTCATTTCTTATACCCTTCAGGTATATATATATATATATGATGTGTATATATATATATATATATATATATATATATATATATATATATACACCATTTAAGCAATTTCGTAAATGTTAAATAAACGTCCATTCCGAAACACAGGACATGCCTAAGAGGACATATTTAAAAATGTAATTACTAAATTTAAACCTGACCTTGTTAAATAATATTTTATACAGCTATGAGATGTATCAAAAGGAAGTAGAATAGGGTATAATGGAGTGTAGAAGACTCTATTTTATGTCATGATCAAATACTAATGGAGTAACATTTCAAAAAAGAATCAAAAGCTATCCAAAATGACAAATTTATGTAATAAAATCAGTTCAGTTTTAATCTAGTTAACTCATATTTTGTCCAATGATTGCTTCACCTGTACGTTGAGAACATACTATGAGATCGTAAGGCAATTTCATTAATGTTAAATAAATGTCCATTCCGAAACAAGGACATGTCTAAAAGGACATATTTTTAAACATGTCTTTACTGTTGGTAAATCTGACATTGTCAAATAATATTTTATACAGCTATGAACTGTAACAAAAGAAACTGGAATAAGGTATAATGGCGTAAAGAATACCTGGAATATATCTCAGAATCAATATTTTATAGAATAAAATTCCAGTAATGAATTACTAGTACAGAATAGACAAAACAAGCACAAAATATAATAAAAAGACTTCAATTTTAGTTCAGCTTCCACCTATTTTGCCCAGTTATTCATAGACTTTACCTAAAACTTATAAACTCAAATACTACAATATATTAAAACAATATCATAAATGTTTAAAAAATGTCCTTTCCGAAACAGGGAAGGACATTTATTTTAACATGACACTGCAATTAGCACACATGTCTGTGCAAAATAATATTTCACACAATCATGAAGCATAACATAAAGAACTTATACAAGGTAAAGTGAAGAACAGAAGTCCTCAGAATATCTCAGAATCAAAAACTTCATGGAGTCACATTTAATACTGAAACAGGAAAATTACAAAATATCATTGATTCGTCAAATTTTGGATATTTTCATCCAATTTTTTTGCAAATACATAAAAGAGCAATACTCTCTGAGTAAAACTAAGTGGTGTTTTGGAGATCAATACCTTAAATTATCACAAAAGTCACACACTTCAAGGTTTAGCTTATGAAAATTAAAAAAATGATTTTCAAAATTCAAATAATCATATCTTTATACATACACAAGGTTTTATCTCGGGATTGTCATTTCTTATACCCTTCAGGTCTATACTTTCAAGAAAAGTACAAATTTCAACACAATAATGACTTCTATTTTTGACCCTTGGTGGGAAAAAAAGGAGCCCAGGATTGTAAAAATACCCATAGCAGCTTCATTGGAATTATATTTACCTCTGCCAAGGAGGGTATGTTTTCACCCCTGTCTGTCATCAACATAACTCAAAAAGTTACGGACCGATTTTGATGAAATTTTCAGGAACTGTCGGAAGTGGGCAAGGAGGACAATGATTAGTTTTTGGTGGTGGTCCGGATCAATAATCAATCAATAAGCAATAATAATCAACAATTGCTGTCTTGGCAGAGGTAGTTTTGTTATGTTTTCCGTTTCAATTTTTTCTTAATTTTTTTTTCAATTTTTTCTCAAACACTGGCATTTGTGACTTTTAACTCTCAACCGCCTGAGGCTCTGCACATTTTCTGTATTTCCACATAAGCAGTTGTATTGTTTTTTATGTCTTTAAACATTATGTATTATTACTTTATGCACTGTCATCATTTTTCAAATATTGAGACTTTCATCATGTGAATTTGAACTCTCATGGTCCTGAAACTGTAATCTTATTGAAGGGGTGGGTTGAGACCATCTTCTGGGTCTTCCGGAAGACGGTCAGGTTATTAAGTTTATATTGACTGGTATCTATTTTTTTCTGTTGGAAGACCATAAAAATGGGGACTGGATCAACATAGATACTTTGGAATACTGTCAGAAACTATCTCTGGGTCGGCTCCTGTTATTGACCATGTTACCTGTTGTGCATGATTAAAATGCAGCGTTGACTGACAGTGCTATTATAAGCATTATTCATTATTGCATCAAAATTGACAAAATGACCTATTTTGCATCTTTGTTTTCTGTTTTTTGTCTGTTCATTTGACAGCTTTGCTGCCTTGTTTATATTACCTCCAATCTGGTGATGAATAAGGACCATCAGCGATCAGAATTGAATATCAATGTCGCAGAGGCTCCTATAGTATGGTTGCATAATAGTTTAGTGAGCCCTTCTCAGACGATTGATGACCGCAACTTTATAAGAATCTCTTGGATTTAGGGCCTTAACCAGAACTTTATTAGAAACTCTTTTCGCTGTCCTTGGACTTGGGGCCTTAGCCGGAACTTTATTAAAGACTCTTGTCGATGTCCTTGGACTATGGGCCTTAGCCGGAAATTTATTAGAGGCTCTTGTCGCTGTCCTTGGACTTAGGACCTTAGCCGGAACTTAATTAGAGACTCTTGGCGCTGTCCTTGGACTTAGGAACTTAGCCGGAACTTTAAAACTTATCTGGTCAGCGGTTACCGAACATTGACAAATAATGCGGAACTCTTCTTTGTTGTAATTGATACCCGTCCTGTCTGCAGGGGAGTTGAATTCACTCCGACCTAATTAATTCTTTTATTTCTTTTTACCCATTTCTTTCCATTGATTTCTGTCTTATCGATTTTTGTAAGTTCGTAACTCTATCTCACACACGCGCGCGCGAGCACGACAGAGAGCACACACGTTATTTTGCATCACTAAATGCTCGGACTCAAGTAAATTTAAGAATACGGTTCTATATCGTTGTTTATTTTTTCTACAGGGCGAAGATTCGGAGTTCGAACTAGAACCTACCGCGGAGGGAGCTACTCTGGTGGCTCTTCTTTTTCAGACGGCACTGATCTAGCTTTAATTCTCGGCCTCAGCATTGGCATTCCAGTTGGAATCGTCTTCCTCGTTTGCTGCATTGTCTGCTGTAGCGTCTGTTTCGAGAGTTGCTGTGATAAGAAAGAACCCGAAGAGGACAAATCGGTGGAAGATGACAATGCCATGTCTGCCGCATTCGAAACAGAAGCAAACGGCGGACCTGGTATACACGAACCTGGGGTCCATCTTACCGGATCCGACACCGCATATTTCTCAAACAACAGCCAGCAACAGAACACATATTGGACACATGACCAGCTACCGGCCTATGGGGATGCCAATTTTTACCCATCTCAGCCCTTGAATGCCGGTGACACCAAATTCCCCTCTGCGCCTGAGTACACGCCAAACGGCAATGCATCAGCCTGCAACAACAGTGGTGGCAGCGGTGGGATTAGTTCTATAAGTGGCGGTGGCGGTGGGATGGACTACACTCCCAGCAGTGGATATACACATGATTATAGTTCCCCTAGCAGCGGCGTTGGTGACGCAGGTTGTACCAGTAGCTCAAGTAATGACACTGGGGGGGGTGGATGTTCTTCCTCTAATGACTTTTAGATTTTTACTGTGATATCTATTTATTCAGGACTGTATTTGCAATCGAAAGCTTAGGCTTTGAAATATATCTCCGTGTTTCTTTGAAATTTTAATTTGCTCAATGTCCAGTTCGCTCAAAGATAATCATCAAAATGTTAAGCAATTTAGTTCATCACTATGTAAAGTCACTGTTGTCTTTATAATAGTTGCTTAGAAAAGGTTCCTATTCATGGAGGAGACAATTGAAAGGCTTGTATCAAAAGATAGTGTGAATGTGAAATTAATTTCAAGGGATTTAAAAACTGAGCAACTGAGCTTTTAATCCATTTGTTTCTAGCAAACTTACATAGGCCTACGGCATAACTTATTGCTATCTACCGTGAGTGTATTTTGTATTTATTAAAAGTCCTCTTTACACTCAGGAAAATTTAGATCTGAAAATAAAGGTAAAACCGGTGCTTGCTCAAGTCATATGTTATAAAACAGTTGACTTGACATGTCTTACTAGATATTTCAAATATTACTCTGAGCATCTGGTAATTTTATCGGCCAAACAATGCTTATTGGAATAAGACTTTTTCTACCATTGTTCGTAATGAAATTCGGATTTTAGGAAGATTTTTTTTTTAATATTAGACTTTTCATAATGCGTTTTGATTATTTTAAACGTGATGCTAGGACCTCTGATTGAGCGTCTTTGATTCTTGTGCCATTGTTGAACTTATTTTAGTTTTTTATGCTGTTATATACATATACATGTATTTTGCATAAATACTGCTGACCTTGGTTTTTTGTGAAAAGCTTTTGGTTATATTGTACATACATGTTTTTCATTTCGTCTTGCAGATCCAGAAAATATTAATGATGACAAGTCAAGGGAGATATGTAATATACATTGTATGATAAGTATTATTGAATGTTTGGGGTGGTATTATATATGATGAATGAATTATATGATGAATAAACTTGTCTATTTTTACAAAAAAATGCTTTTATGTTTATTTCATTTTAATAAAAATTAAAACAATCATTTGGGATTACCCTTAACAATTCAGTAGGAAGGGTTACCTGTATTTTCCTGTACAACAGATATGACAATGATAATAAATCAATAGATGAATAACTTCAGGACAATGATAAGGTCAGGATCAAACAAAAATTGAAGCGGAAATTGCTAATTTGCCAAAAAGTCAAAAGGAAAGGGAGAGATTAAAACTACGACTAATAGACCTGATTGGCTGTTAAACAAGAAAAGAAAACGTGTACATGTAATTATCCTATCCTTACCCTGACTGCATCGCATCTGTGATACTTATTGTGCTACGTCTCAACTGTAGCACTGCATTAAACACCACATTGCTATTTTCACCAAAACTGGGATTTATTCGAGATAGCCTAAAAATGAGGCTGGTCGCACAGTGTGACGTCATGCCAGACGTCATGCGACAAGAAAACGTGCGAAAATCCGCGTGAGGTGGTTTTGACATTTTATCGGTAAAGATGAAACTCAGTGCGCTGGAAATGTCGTCTCAAGAAACAATATAATAGATACCCATTTGGATGTCCCGGAGTGTCCCGTGTAATGTAGTTTTCGTTGATGGAGGCAGTATATGCTTCGCTTGTTCGCTAGTATAGTACCTCATTTATTTCATTCGTCTATCTGCTTATTTCTCAGCAAAATATTTCATCAGCTATTTCATGTCACTATTAAAATAGGCTCTACCAACAACAGCTAAAAACAGAGTTATTACTTGACCTAGGCACTGAAATACAAGAATGGCAATAACTTCAGTTTTAGCTGTTGATGGAAGAACCTATTATTATAACTATTTATTTTCCATTTATCTGCATCTGTTTCAAGTGTGTCTGCCTGCGACGAGCACGTGCTTTTTTTTCCCAAAAGCTATAATCAGTGCATTATAATCACTGTATCAAAACCCGGTGGCTAAAGGGTCCTCGGGCAGGTCAACAGGTGGCGCTGGTAAAGCGCGGTGACCGTAAACCAGGTAAGAAGTACATCAGCCGTATCGTTACCACACAATAGTACAGTTACGATGAAAGTTTATTTATCACAACCTTACTGTCAGTTAGAATTATTTCTATGCCAAAATTTGATCATTTTTCTTTGGCGTGGAAATAACCTAAATTTAACTGCTTTAAAATCGAAACGGATGGCCGTAAATGCCTTTATTTTATTGATTAATCACGTCTGTTTTTTTTTTCATAATGTTTTTTATGTGTACTCCCTGTATTCAAGGAAAATGCGTGTGCACATGTGCATCGGACAAAAGAGATCTAACTCCAATACAAATTTTCTTTACCAACAAATATGGGTATATTTTCACAGAACAATATAGTACGTATCACGTTCATGAAAGTATATGCCTCAATATGTATCACCCCTTGGCTAGTGATTAAAAAAACTGATAATCAAGACCATTATTTTTCCACTTCATAAAAGATCACGCGATAGGCTATTTAGATTTTGAAAACAGTTTGGGTCAATGAAAATATCTAAAATGTATTTTGCCAATCCTTTAATAATAACCTTTTAAAAGAAAATGAACAATATTGATGTGGCTTGGTTTATTTCAGTAAATATTCCATACAAACTCATTGTTTCTTTAACTTTCCATCCATGAAAAAAAAAAAAAAAAAAAACAATCGAGAAAGTTTGTGCGTGCAAATTGTATCCCAAGGAGAAAGGAAAAAGGCACGAAATACCCATTATGTTCCGTCTCATCTGTCGCACACACAAATTTAATTACATGAGAATGCGCCTCATAGTACAGAAATCCAAAACACATTCGGGGCCTGGTAAACACCCCCAGGACAAAATGCATAACAAGATGCACCACACTAAATTATGATTCATCAGACAGAACATAGCTATGCAACTATATAAGGGAAGAACAAGAGATCGTTGTTTCAGATCCTGGCCAAGTTTGGAACACACCGCAACAAAGCGAATCAGTGGCCGTCATCGAGAACCTGGGAGACGCCGCTCATTTCAAGACCTTTCGGCTTCTGTAGAAGTAACGGCATTGAAGATCGAGATCTATTTATATATCCTAGGCACCAAGCGAAGCCGCGTTAAACGGTAGAATATCTGCTGTAGTAATTTTTGCTGGGTTTTAAGATAAGCACAAAACATCGATGCATTCTAAGGTCTTACAAAAGTATAGCTGCAAACTTACTATCTAACTACAAAAACAACAATTTGCCAATCATAGCCGATTTATTTACAAACATGCGGTTAAAATGCTCTATTTTCAAAATGGCCGTCATACTATTGATGGCCATGATGCTTCCTCTCCTGTGCAAGTCGGCCTTCACTGCAGATGTCAGCGATACAATAGTGGACCTGTCCGTCAAGTGGTTCAAGAATATCGTCAAATCTCACAAGACCGGGACTTTCATATTTTCACCGTTCCACATGATGTCATCCTTGGCATCCACGATGCTTTGCACCAGTGGTGACACACGTGACGAAATCGCCCGACTGTTATCGATTAACGTCTCACGTGATCTCTCAAGCAACGAGGTCATCGAAGAGGTTTCAAAAGCTTTACAGGCCTATTCGCGCTATTTCCCCGACTGTATTTCCCCCAAAACAATGTACATTAAAAGCCTCGCGAGAGTGCCCGTTTTCTATGAAAGAGACTACACCTTCGTTGAACAGCTAGCAGAACACTATGAATTCCTAAACCCCCAAATCAACACAGCCAACTACAGCAGGACAGACACAGACACGAGTTTACAAGCCTTTAGTGCCTTAATGAATGATTTCACTCGTGGGGAAAGCAGAAATCTTTTTAGAGGTCTCAACCCATCTACTTCACGGCCTTCAGATATCCCATTGGTGATGGCGAACGTGGTCCCTTCCATAGGCCTGAAGGCCGCCTGGAAGTTCAATCCTAACCTGACACGTTATACCAACTTCTTTGTCAACAAGAATCTAAAGAAGGAAGTGTCTATGATGTTAGAAATGCCAAGGTCAGATAACACAGTCCAGTACAAAGACTCCAGAATCTACAAGGCACAAGCGATAAAAGCGCCGATGGACACTGGTAAGACAATTATTAGATATTTAAAATAAATAAATCAATAGACACCAAATTTTTAAGGAATCAAGTTATTCTAATATTGATTTTTGTACATGGCTACCGGATAATTTATGCATCCTTTACTACGTATAGAATATATATATATATATATATATATATAT